AGGCAGCTCATAAAAATCTTTTCAAGACATTTTAAATAAAAGGAGGGGAAGATTGGAAAGCCATACGAACACTCAAATCCAATATAGGTTTAAAGAAAATGGAGGACAACGTGTGTGTAAATACAAGGACATGGCAAAACCAAAAGGTCAATAAATACTTTGGGAGATGCTCAAGATCATTGGAAGTTAGAGATGTGGAAATTATAGCAAGAATAAAAGATTGCCAGGCACAGTGGTGCGTGCCTGTAATCCCTGTGGCTCAAGAGGCTGAGACAGGAGGATCGTGAGTTCCAAGCCAGCCTCAGCAATTTAACAAGGCTGCTAAGAAACTCAGACCCTGTCTCTAAATAAAATACAAAAAAAGGGGGGGGTTGGGGATGTGGCTCAGTGGTTGAATGCCCCTGAGTTTAATCCCCTGGTACCAAAAAGAAACAATAAAACAAGAATAAAAGATCCCTTGATGTATATTTGACTGGCAAAAAATTAAGAGTGGGAAAATATCAAGTTGAGGGCAGAGGGAATGTGTGGATACAGAGAGTTGCATGTATTGTTAGCTAACTGGGGTGTGGATGGGGAGCTGGCGATGTCAGGCAAGGCCGACATTATTATTTTTCCATCCTGTCACTTAGAAACTCCACTCCTAGATATAGATCCCAAAGACATTTTCCCATAGACATTTAAAGCAATCTGTGTGACAATGTTTGATGTGGCAGTATTTGAGGTGACAAGGAAATTATTGGAGCCCTAGATATCTTTCCACGGAAGAGTAGACAAATAAAATGGAGTGATCACATACTATGGAGAGTTACACAGCAATCAGAAAGAGCAGAGGGTGAGGCTTTTAAAATGTGGTATTGCTCTTCCTTTTCTGAAATTCCACTCAAAAGCCAGTAGGTGGGGCCAATCAAAGCAAGTGTCCTCACAAAGGAGAGTGTTGCACCCTGCATGAGTTTTGGAATCCAAGCAGGGACACCACACCGGCACCTTGTCAGGGCTACGTGTCCAAGCCCCGATGGGGTATTTTAGAAGGGACTTCACAAGTGCTGGGGGTGGGTAACAACAGGATCTGATTACATAAAGAGGACTGATCAAATAAGTATATTGAAGATAATAAGAACCAAATTTTTCACTGTCAGAGAAAGGAGCTAAAAATACAGGGGGAAAAAAAGGAAAATAATAAAAAGCCCTGTGGTTAAATTGGAACTGGAGTTATTGCTGTGAACTTGTGGGTCTTAATAGACACAAATGCAAATATATGTCATAGGGGCATAGATAGATTTCATGGCTCTGTCCACTGAAAGGTTCTTGTAGCTACAATTCTCAATAGTAGTGATCATAACCAGAACCCAGGTCTTGCCTTCTAAAAAACATCATGCACTTAAAGAACCAAGATTCCTTGGGGAAAGGAATGACAAATTCAAAAGCTAGAGCATGAACATTGATATATATTATATATATATATATATATATATATATATATATTGCCAGAATGTAAAGAAGGACCCAAAGAATAGAAGGAAAACAGGAGCTGTGGGGGATAATGAGGTGTACATGCTAGGAAATCAAACTCAGGGCCTCCTGCTTGCTGGGCAAGCACTCTACTGCTGAACCATATCCCCCGCCCAGGAGAGAGAAGTGTTTGACAAAGATCCAAGACAATTCAATAGGGAAAGAATAATCTTTTCTTTAAAAATGATCCTAGAGTAACTGGACATCTGCAAGCAGACTAATTAAGTTGAACCCTAACATCATATCATATGCAAAGATTAACTCAAAATTAATCAAAGACCTAAATGTGAGAAAGCCAAAACTATAAACCTCTTAGGAGAAAATTTTGGTTTAAATGTTAACCTGGGATTTGGCAATGCCTTCTTAGAAATAATGCCAAAATTACAAGCAATAAAGGAGGGGGGGTGATAAATTGGACTTTAAAAAACAATTTTTTTTGTTTTAAAGGACAGCATCAAAAAAGCATAGAATGAGAGAAAATATTTACCCATCATATATCTGCTAAGAGACACATCTACAATATGTAAACAACCCTCAAAATTCATTCATATAAGGACAAATAATAACTCAGTGTAAAAATGGGAAGGATATGAATAGATATTGCACAGAAGATGTGCAAGTGGATGTGAAAAGATAGTCAATACCATTTGTCATCAGGGAAATAAAAATCTGAACCATAAAGAAATACCACTTCATGTCCACTAAAATGGCTGAAATCAAATAAAAAGTGTTGCCAGGTGCAGTGGTTCATGCCTGTAATCCCAGCGGTTCAAAGCCAGCCTCGACAACTTAATGGGGCCCTAAGCAACTCCACTTGGAGACCCTGTCTCTAAATAAAATATTTTTAGAAAGGGTCAGGGATGTAGCTCAGTGGTTAAGCATCCCTGAGTTCAATCCCCAGTACCAATAAATAAATAAAATAACACATACAGCAAGTGTTGCAAGGGTTGATGGGCTGTAGAAAAATAAGAACCCTCATTTACATATGGGGGGAGGGATTTTTAAATAAATAATAAAATAATTAATTCCTCATGAAGTTAGCACAATAGAAAGACAGAAAAGTTAATGTATTGTTTCCAGCTAAAGAGGACTAAAAAGACCTTGAAAATTAAATGCAGTGAATAACATTGGATTAAATCCCAAGTCACAAAATAATAATAATAATAATATAAAAAACATTGTTGAGATAATTGGCTCAAGTTGAAAAGATCTGAAGATTATATTATAGCAATGTATCAATGTTAAATTCCTGCTTTTGATCATTGAAGTTTGGCCATGTATGTAAAGATCCTCTTTCTTAAGACATAAACACTGGAAGAGAGAGGAGGGGGGGGGAGAAGGAGGAAGAGGAGGAGGAGGGAAGGAGGGAGGAAGGAAGGAAAAGAGAGGAGTAGAGGGAGGGAGGAAGGGGAAGAAAGGAAGAAAGGAGGGAGGAAAAAAGGAAGGAGAGAGGAATACTGTATCTAAGAGTAAAGGGCATGAGCCCTAGCTTCAGTGGTGCACGCTGAGGTTGAGACAGAAGAATCACAAGTTCAAGGAGAGCAACTTAGCAAGACCTTGTCTCAAAATAAAATTAAAAAGGCTGGAGATGTAACTCAGTGGTAGAGTATTCCTGAGTTCAGTTCCCAGTACTAGGAAAGATAAAAAAGAAGATGAAGAAGAGGAGGAAGAAAAAGAAGTGGACTACCAAAGAAGCACGGTGCCTGCAACTTATTCTCAAATGTCCCAATAACAATAATTCTAGTTATATAGAAAAAATGACATATGCAGCTAAAAGGCAAGTGTACTGGAGTTTTCTCTACCAATCTTGCAACTTTTCCATAAATTTGAAATTATTTTAAAATCATGTTTGTTTTAATATTAAAAGCAAATTAAATACAACACTCAATACCCTGAATATTAATTTAAAACATGGGTATACAAAACAATGCATATTTCATGATAATATATAACAACAAAGACAAACACAGTAAACGCTACCCGCTGGTTTCAGAGGAGGGAGCAGATATGGAAGGTGGAAAAGAATGGAAGTGTTCAGCCTAAAGAGAACACATACAATTTTTCTGAAAGACTAGGGAGGAAGTCTGGCAGAGCAAACCGCTAATTTCTCACCTCACACATCTGAGAAACAAAGAAAAGCTTTATATTTTATCTTCATATTTTGGCATTGTTTCCATTTTATATTATAAAATACATTCACATGTTACTTATACAGTTTTTAAAGTGGGAAGAAAATGGCAAAATATTCATATAATTTATTCTAGACTATTAAGAATGAGATCAACGGCTGAGGTTGTGGTTTAGTAGTAGAGCGCTTGCCTCATATGTGCGAGTCACTGGGCTCAATAAAATAAAGGTCCTTCGGCAAGTAAAAAAAAAACCACTATTTTCAAAAAAATGAGATCAAGCTATAGTCACTAACAAGACTACAACCTAGGGTTAAGTATCAGCAATTGTATGACTCATTATTGCAAAAATCATCGTTTGATTATGCAACTAATGCACCTTTTTAAACTATCAGCTCTAATTTTTCTGGAGGGAGAATTAAAGAAATGTACTTGTACATACACTGTGACTTAGAAACGGGCACTGTTTCTTACAAGACAATTAGTAGTTTTAAATAAGCTAAGGTAAACTCCTTTTCAACAAAACACAGTGTACAACAATAATGATTATGGAATTATGCCTCTACTAATACAGTAACCTTTTAAAACAATACAAATGCCCAATGGTAATGTTATCTGTTTCCAATTTCCTTGTGCAGAATGAAGGGTCTCACTTTTCCGAACCTTCCCGCCTGGACGTATATTCCGAAAAGGTGTAAGCTACTACTGCGTATACCTTTTCAAAACTCAAGGCCTGCACACGCTAAGATTCCTTTTCTGCCTTGTTTCTCCCTCCTTGAATACTAGGAAGCCATACCCGATTTTCTCCAGGCAGGGGAAGGAACTCCCGCCCCTTGTTCCATTGCCTCCTCTTCCCTAGAGGGCTCCCAGCTACGCACAGTAATTCTCAATCCCGAGGCCTGTCTCCACAGAGACCTGGGATGCAGAGAAAGTGTTTTAAGGTCGGGGCTGATTCTTTATATCTGGAAATCTTCCACCGCTAGCACCATGCTCTGCCCATAATAATTCCACAAAACAAAAAAAATGTCTGTGCAAATTGCTTTGGAAAGCAGTTCGGCAATATATTAGCAGCCAGGAAAATGTTCCTAAGCGGGACATGGTGGCATGCCTGTAATCCTAAATAGACGAGAGAGACTGAGGCAGGAGGATCGCAATTCAAGGCCACCTGGGCAACTTAGCGAGACCCTGACTTGAAATAAAATAGAGATGTAGATCAATGGTAGATCGCTTCCTAGGTTGCCCGAGGCCCCGAGTTCCGATCCCCAGTAACCAGAAGAAGGGGAAGAAAAGGAGTCCCTATCCTGTTGAGTCAATAAGGATCCTGAAGTTTATCCTTTCCGAAGAAGAAAGCCATATACCTGAAGATTTTGGTTTGTGCATTATTTTAATGCTCAAGAACTGGAATAACTGACAATTGAACGGTCAAAGAAATTATACAATGAAGCATAGGATATTAATCGGCCGTTGAAAAGTATACTTTTGAGAATCATAGCACACGGCAAATATTTAGGTGTGAACTCAAATTAAAAAGGCTGAATACAGAACTGCACTTCACTAGGACTCAAATTATGCAAAATAAGGATGCACATAAAAAAAACCATTGAAAAGAGTCTTTGCGGGAAACCAAGGGTTTTTTTTTTTCCTGTTTTCATTTCTATTGTTTTTCTAGTCGTAAGAACATCGGGCAAAGGTTGGAAAAGCAGATTTAAATTGGAGAATACGATTTAAAAACAGAATACGGTATTTTCGGCCAGAGGAAAGCGTTTCTAATGCAGAAATTTCGGGCTCCTCGACCGGCCCTTAAGACTGGGGGGCCTAGAATGGCATTCCCAGCATCCTTCGGAGCAAAGCCACAGCCACCGAATCCACATGAACCAAAGTGCAAGAAAGAGCTCTCTTGTCCACCACCCGTGAACTTCTCGTGGGCGACCCGAATCCAGTTAGGCAGAGCCGAACGTCCATTGGTTGCGTGGCTTTTCTCCTGTGATCAGTCCCTTTAGACTGATTTCCACAAGAGCAACACGCAGGTCCCTACCAAGACCAACCCGCCTGCCTACCAAAAGCAAGAATTCGGGAGACAGTTGGGGGAAAGCCGCGCGCCCTGGGTGGAGCCCCTATCGCGCTTTGTTTGTTTGGGTGGCGCGCGGCCTCCCAATTTCCGGCCCCGCCCCTTCCCACTCCACCCGCCCCCCCTTTCCCCCAGCTCCACTCCACCTTCTTGGCTTCCTTGCACCCGGTCTCCGGGTCTTCTACTTCTCGCCGGCCTCCTTTCTTCTCCTTCCCTTCCAGCCATCTTCATACCCACCCTACTCCTACCCGGCCCCATCTCCCCAGCAAATTTGCAAATTTCGCCCCGGCAGAACCGAATCCGTGGTCCTTTCCCCGAGAAAATCAGCCTGATCCATTCTGGATGGACCGGGTTTCGGAGAAACCAAGCATCTGGGATCCAGTTCCCCAGGCCTCAACATCGGGGAGGGAAAGCCAAAGGTTGAGGCAGGGGATGGGAGAAGCAGATCCTCTGAGGGAGGAAAGACAGAGCTCGGGAAAGCTGGAGGTGGCGATTAGAGTGGGGCCACCTCCACTTAGAGACCCTAAGAGTGCTCATCTATCCGTCCGTCTGCTTTTTAAATTTTCCTTAAATCATACACCCATGGCGGGATTTCCAGGTGGAGCATCCAATTCGTAGCCCACAACATCTCCAAGTTTATTCTCCTTGTGGAACCAAGAACTCTTTAAAAGGGAGAGCAGGGAGAGAACTCAAGTAATTGATGAAGACTCGGTACTTAAAACCGCTCTAGGCTCAGTCTCACACTCTTTACCTCTTTCGGGAAGAGCGTGTCTCGCTCAGCTGTCCTCCCAACTCTACCATGATGCGTGTACAGGATGCACAGAAGAATGGACAGTGGGTTGCGATTATTTTTACACAGATAGTGTCACATTCCATGATTTATTCCACACGGAGGCCATAGATGCCAGGGAAACGGAGAGAGAAAATTCCTTTGCACTGTTCGGTGCGTTTTGTTGAACTGTTTGCAGAAGAGTTTCACCTTGCCAAAAAGAAAAAAAAAGGTATTATAAAAATAAAAGGAAATGGGATTAAAATCTAAAAGAAATGTCGGTACACCCTGTTCTGCAGATTGCGCGCGCTAGAGTGGAAAGGTGCGACACATTGCTTGAAGTCGCAATTTTGAGTTCGCCTCGCCACCCACTCATTCCGTGGGCCAAGGCCCAGTGTCGGTGAAATCCTTGCCTTGAGGTCGCCAGGAAAAAAAAAATCGACTGGGCTGGAGAGGTGGCAGTCCAACCCTCGGTGCGCTCTGACCGCGGCTTCGCGATGCAGCGTCCTCGGGATCGCAACGACTTGCTGCGGTTCGGTTCCCGAGTGGGGTCTGGAACCCGCCTCCCTCGTGGACCTTGACCTCCAGCGAACCTCGTCGCCACGTTTAGCTCTCCCTGACCTGATTTTGAACCCGCTAATCCCGTCCCGAACTCTCGCCCCGCGGCGATCCCTCTCCCGGGCCTGGCGCGCTAATTCCCGCTGACCCCGCGGCCCCGCCGCCTCTCCCAGCTCGCGCAGCTTTGAACCTCGGCGAGGGCTTCCGGCCTCTGAGCGAGGGCGTGATCCCGCGCGCAATCTGCACCTCCTGCGCGCAATCTGCACATCCCGCCTAGCCCCCAACCCAGCTTCAACACTCTCCACCCAAGCCAACAGCTTCTAACTACAAACATTCCGCCCTCTCGCTTTCCCTAGGTTCATTTGTAGTTCTGTGTCATTCATTTGTTTCCTTAAGAAACCTACCGGCCTCACAGAGATCAAAATCTTCCGTAACACGTTCAGCTGGCGACACTGTGAAGCTGCAGGCACTTTCGTCGTGGCTGGCCAACAACGAGGAGATAGGAAGAAAAAGCAGGGAACGGTTCATCTTGTGCAAGTGCCAAAGCGAAGACTGAAAAGGCTGGAAGAAAGCAGGCAGCGCGAATTCATTCCTATTTTTAAAGTGGAAGTGGATAAGGCGTTCGAGATGAGACCAGAACGTGGAGCTTCCAGAGATGGGGCTGAGGATCTGGAAAGACAACTACTTGTCATTTTATGATCCTTTATGCTGTCTTTGAATTTTTCAAAAAATTTTTTCTTAGATGCATGTTTTCCTTCTTTAAAAAAAAACCAAAAACGATGAATATTTTAAAAGTTGATTAAATTAGTCCACATCACACGCATTTACAAACGCACCTCACACACTCGCTGGACGCGTGGGTTCGCAGTTGCTTTGTTTTGTAAGCCACCGGAACAGAGCACAGACAACAGAGCACAAGGCCGCGGAGTCTTCTTCATAAAAGCGCTTCGTCATAGGGAGTATTTTTCAGAGGTGGTTTTCTACGAATGAAAACAAACCTGATCTTAGGGTCACCGGCTGGTTTGTGCATATCTGTAAACCACCAGTGGAGAGGCCCTGTAAAAACCCATCTCCAGATACCCAATCTTGACACCCAATCGGGTCTAATATCCAGGAGAAGGCTGGCTATCTCCAGTGATGTAGGTGCTACCACTGTGGGGATTTGAGCCTGTTTGATTCACAACTATCCCCACAGTTTTATTAGATGAAGAATAGTCCAGAGTATGCAGCCACTCCTAGAAGAACTATTCTCAGTAGGTATAAATTCTTAGTGTCACCTTGGGGTGAGAGGACTGGCTCTGAAGGCTACAACCTCTACGGGTTTCAGCTAGTGACCAGCACCTTTCAGTATTTCCACAGATCCCCAAAAGTCACCCAACACAGTCTGTCACTCAGCTCCTCACCCTTCTGTTTTGGAAGTCCTTTCCCAGGGTGAAAAGATGGAGAATTCCTCCACCTCACTCCACCCAAACTTCAGTTCCCTGCACCACAGTACAAAATCTCTGAGTAATTCCCTCCCTGCACCTCAGGCACAAGCCAGGCAGCAGAGAGGCTGAGGGCACTTGTGCCCAGACCCACTTGGGTCAGGGATCCAGGAAGTCACCAGTGATGGAGAGAGAGGGGAGACACCAGAGTCAAGGTGACAGAGAAATGGGTGCCAGATAACTCTCTTCTCCCTCATCTCCCATCACCAAGCTCAGCCTGGATTCACCTGCGGGTGACACTGACCTCAGTGATCATTTCTTGGGGGTAACAGGTGTGTGGATTCTTCAGAACTGAGTCATAGGAGAGGGGTGGTTGGTGCCCTTGAATATGCAGTGTTCCTGCAGATGCAGAGGCTACAACAAAGATTTAAAAAAAGGAGCAGTGTCTACTTGGTAAGTCACTTTCTGAGGCACAGAGAGGAAGGGCGAGCGGCCGCCCTTGATGGAAGTGTGGAAACAAAAAGCCTCTGTGAATCCATTCTAACACCAACATGAAAGGTTTTTCTTTTACTGTATTCTCTTATTTTTTTTTTGTTGTAGACGAACACAATATCTTTATTTTATTTATTTTTTATATGGTGCTGAGAATCAAACCCAGCATTTCGCATGTGCTAGGTCTACCACTGAGCCACAATCCCAGTCTTTTACTGTATTCTTTTGAACTGAATTCCGTGAATTCCAAGGTATCAAAGGACATGAAGGCTACCCCCACCCATTCTGATATCAGAACCCCTCCCCAAGGCTGACCTGGAGAGCAGTCCCAGCAATTCACACCACTTTCTCTTATAGGAAATGCCCAAGAAGGAACATGTTCCCTTAAACTCCCATTACCTCCCTACAGGGTCTCTGATTCCTGGCCATATCCCTGCATGGACTTTGGGGTCTCTGCTGAAAAGAGGGCAAAACCTGGTTTCATACATTGACCCCAATAGAATTATAAACAGGGAAATCACAGTGTCTGTGCCAGGTCCTGGAGTTGGAGTTGGATGATTGAAGACAGGGTTACAGTTTGGGCCTCACAGCTCACTGTCCTCTAAATTCAAAGTCCATTTTTTGGGAAGCAGAAGGTTGAATCAGACCAGCAGAGTTTGCTGTCCTGAGGCTTTGGTGGCTGATGGCATTTCTCCAGTACCTCCACCTGGGACAGACACCTAGGCAGTATGTTTGAGGGCTGGAATCTAACTCCACATCACTCAGGCTGAAAATTTGCCCTCTGTTCTCCTTGGACATGGCTAACCAGTGGCTAACCTCCTCAATCTTCATCCTACCTGGCCAGGGAAGGACAGGGACCAACTGATGCTGTAGTGTATTCTTGACTAAGTGGAAACTAACATAAGCTTAAATTTTCTTTCCTCCAGCACCCACAAAATGCCATGTACTAGACAAAATACACAGACTACTCTTCATAACAATCCCAAAGGTTGGCACTATTGTTATTCTTATCTAATGAATGTGGACGCTATGGTACAGAGAAGTTAAAAGACCTATTGGCAACTAATAGTGGTAGAACCAGGATTTGAATCCTACCTAACCAGGAACCACGACTCTGAACCATTACTCCAAAGCCAGTAACTCCTACAACAGTAACAAAGCTCCACCTCATTGGACAGAATTGGAAAGGAGACTGGGGATGCATAGCCACCAGCTGATGCTTCTCTGAGCCTCTCCAGGGTCCTCCACTTGCTCCTTTTTCTGGCTGAGCTACTGGTTGGACACCCGGAATCAGGGAAGCACAAAACACTCTCACACAAAAAGTGGAAATAATTCAAATGTCCATCAATAATGAATGAATAAACAATGTGATATAACCATACAATGACTATCATTCAGCCATAAAAAGAAATGAGGTACTGATACATGCTTCAATATGAATGAGCCTTGCTGTGCATGGTTTTGCATGCCTGCAATTCCAGTGACTACGGAGGGAGCCTGAGACAGGAGGATTGCAAGTCTGAGGCCACCTTAGCAATTTAGCAAGGCTCTAAGCAAGTTAGTGAGACCCTGTCTCAAAATAAAAAGTTAAAAGGGATAGTGATATGGTTCAGTGGTAAAGCACTCCTGAGTTCAATTCCCAGTACTGAAAATTAAGCTAAAATAAATTTAAATTTGAAAATATAAATGAATCTTTAAAACATGCTGAAAAAAAGCCAGGCATAAAGATTACATATTATAAGATTTCATTTATATGAAATATCCAGAATAGACAAATCAATAGAGATCAAAAGATTAATGGCTGCTTAGGGTTGAAGGGGAATAGGAAATTGGGGCTATAAGTTTCTTTCTGAGTTAATAAAAATGTTTAAAGTAGCTGTGAATGATAGCACTCACCTGAAATCCCAGCAACTCTGAGGCTGAGGTAGGAGGATTGCAAGTTCAAAGCCTGCTCAGCAACTTAGTGAGGCTCTGAGTTACTTAGCAAAACCTCAAAATAAAAAGTAAAATGGGCTAGGAATGTATTTAAGTGGTAAAGCACCCCAGGTTCAATTCCTAGTACTAAAAAAGAAAAAAAAATCAGTTTAAAGTTGATAGTGGGAACAGTCACACATGGAAGTACACTAAAAACCTTGAATTGTGTACTTTAAATGGATGGATTTTGTATGAAATGTGAATTAGATCCTAATAAAATTGTTACCAAAATAAAAACAAAAAACAAGGGCTGGGGTTGTGGCTCAGAGGTAGAACACTTGCCTACCATGAGAGAGGCAACGGGTTCGATCCTCAGCACCACATAAAAATTAAAAGAAGATATTGTGTCCACCTATAACTAAAAAATTATTATTAAAAACAAAAAAACATACATCGTTCTCAGACCTTGAGGCCACTCACCCAGCCTTGGCAAACCCAGGCTCAGCTCAGTTCTACTAGGATCCACAAGACTCACAGTCCAGGTTTCTTTTATCTCCTCAGAGTCCACAGGTAACCTCTATGGTGCTGGTTCCCTCAATCCCAGAGCCCCTTCTCAAGCTTCTAACTAGGGACCACTGTCCAACTTGAGAAGGGCAGAGGATGGAGCCAGGGCTGGGAGAGAACTCCATTCATACTCAGAGTGAAGTTAGAGAGTATGGAAGAGGTTTTCATCTTGGCAGAGCCTTGGGTCTTCACTGTTAGGTTTGAATGAACACCAACCAGCTATTATGTGACCTTGGCCTCGGTTTCCTCTTCTGCAAAATGGGCAACCCACCATCAATAGTCAAGGGACTATTTCACAAAATGGGGAGTCTGGCACAGCTTTAGGCACCTAGCCAGTACATCCCTGGCTAAAATCAGATGAAAACGTTTTGGGGATGAGAATAGGGGTTTTGTTTGTCAATAAAGGAAATATTTTTGGAAGATTCTCTATTGTTTTCATCTCTTAGTTCATGTAAATTCCATGTGGGTCAGATTATAATTTTGGGAAATGGCAAGTAAAAAGGGCCTTTCTCATCCTAATGGAGAGAGGGCTGGAACAGAAGAAAGGAAATAAAGAAGAGAATACGGAAAGAAGGAGGAAGGAGAGAACAATGGGTGAGCCCAGGACAGGCCACTGCGATGGGGAGTTCTGAGGGGTGGAACCGACTGCCCAGGAAGGGATAGCAGAGCGGAGGGAGGAACATGGAAAACCAAAGGAGAAAAGGACACAGAGGGAGTAGGAGGAAGACTCCTAGAGACCTCTTCCAGGGAGGAGAGGAAGCAGAGACAGCTCTGGAAGGAATCTGACTGGAGAAAAGAGATCAACAAGTCAGGAGTCCCCTACCTCTCCTGCCTGCCTCCTCCCCCCCAACCCCTGGCCAATGCCTCCACCTCCATTTCCTGAATCACCACATATTGACCATCTCCTGGCTTTTGCTCCAGCAGTTCCTGTCCCCCTGCGTGCACATGTACACACACACACACACACACACACACACACACACACACACACACTTGTCCCAATTCTGTAGATCTCAACCAGGCATCACCTAGGAGGCTTTTAAATATATGGTGCCCACTAGGAACCATTAGAAAGTTTGCAGAAAGTTGATAAAGAATTTTTTTCTAAGTTCCTAGATGATTTAATATGTGCTGGATATTTAAAAAAAAACAAACAAAAAAAAAAAACAAAAAAAAACCCCTCCCTTCTTGCTTAAACTTCCCTGACCCTGTGTCAAGACCAAAGCTAAGGCAGATGTTATCTGCTTCTCCATACCTGCCTGATTAGGTACCTGGAAGGCTTTGTCAGACCTCACCTATCAGCATCAGTCCCTCCATTCTGTTCTTCTTTACAAACTTGCCTAGACTCATAGCCTCCCCCAGATAGACCTTGAATTACATCCCCAGCCTTTATGATAATAATAATTATTATAATTAAAATTTTTGAGACTGGGTCTTACCACCCAGGCTAGCCTTTAACTTTTGATTCTCCTTTCTCAGCCTCTCAGGATGTTGATATTACAGGCGTATGACACCATGTCCAGCAGTAGTGATCTCTTGAGATTCTCAGTCTCCCATCCACTCTCCTCATGTTCCTAAAGCCTAGA